ATGGCTTTCTAAGCACTTTTGTTCTGCAGGCAGTTAGCAGTGGCTCAGCATAGCTTGACTTCACAGAAAATTTGCAGGCCACGAGATGTGCGGCATCCAGAGTTGGGTTCTATGTAGGTGTACTCCCCTCTCCTTGCCTTACAGAAGCATTTCTTCCTTCCAACCAATACAAACAAACTTAGGGCTGAGCAAAAGTGTGTGCGTGGATGGTGCCATTCTACAGCTTAGTCAGTAGGAGGCACTGGACTTAATTGTGACTGGGTAAGGTCTGGCAATTCCTGGCCCTTCCGGTTTAAGAGGCATGATAACGTTCTTTGGGAGCCAGTGTGGTGTAGTGGTTGAAAGTGGTAAGACTCATAATCTGGGGAACCGGGTTCGCGTCTCCGCTCCTCCACATGCAGCTGCTGGGTGACCTTGGGCTAGTCATACTTCTTTGAAGTCTCTCAGCCCCGCTTACCTCACAGAGTGTTTGTTGTGGGGGAGGAAGGGAAAGGAGATTGTTAGCCGCTTTGAGACTCCTTAGGGTAGTGATAAAGCGGGATATCAAATCCAAACTCTTCTTCTTCTTCTCGCCCAGCTTCCTGGCTGGTTGCATCCCCAGCAATACATTAAAAGCACATGTTCCTCCACCACCTCAAAGAATCTTGAGAACTGTAGTTTGTAAGGGTACTGGGAATTGTAACAGCAGTTCCCAGGATTCAGGGTGGGAGATTTTAGTGGGTATGCAGATTGTGTGACCTTGAAGGCCCTCTGTGATATCTGCTGACTTTTGTGAGTGCCTTTGCAAGTCCTGAATGTGTGGGGATGAGGGCATTTCAGCTCATTTTAAGTTTGCTATTGTCTACAGTGCCTCTCCAGGGTTTCAAACAAGAGATATTCCCAGCCTTACCTGGAAATGCTGGGGACTGAACCTGGGACTTCATACATGCAAAGCAGATGTTCCGCCTCTAAGCTACAGTCCTTTGCTTCTGTCACATTTCCTAGATGATATCAGTCGGAGACCACACTGGACAGGGCACAGGGAGGCAAGCCAAATTTGTTCCCATTGAATGACCTTCTTTTCTTTGGAAATCAATTACAGGGTGGGGGGAGCTGTTTGCAAAGGAGGCTGTTTTTAACGGTTGCTGATGTTAACTCAGCTCTGTGATCCTGGGCAGCTCTCAAAATGAATCTAATTGCTCAAACATGGGATGCGGAGAAAGGAATGTTCATGGTTTTTCATTAACTCCTCAAAGCTTCTCATAAGGTCAGTTTTTTTCACAGCTTGCGAGTATGTTACGGTCTGTGGTTCAGCTGTTTGACTGGCAGTGTCCTCAAGGGGTTGCAGAGTGTCAACTGACTACGGCTTTTTGATGGGTGTCAGATGGATATTTGAAACATCAGGCAACCATGTCACCCCCAACTCAGCCCACTTCAGGCAGGCTGGCGCTTGGAACAGACAGAGAGCTGTTGCTTCAGCAGTGAAGCAGTTCGGGCAGAGTTTATATTGGGAGTTTAGGGCTCCATTCCCTTCCTGGCTGTCTGATCCAGGCAGGTGCTTCCATACACTTCCTCCTCCTCCCGAGGAGCCTCACATAAATCTAGCAGGACCTAAGCTGCTGCCTGACTCATCTCCTCTACTCTGTGGGACGAGAGTCTGAGATATGGTCAGGCATCCAGGCCACTGGTGTGGGGACCTTTAGCCCTGAGCAGAAGGGTCCAGATTCAATGGCCCTTTGGAGTCTATATGGAGCTCTGCTAGGGGGTCCTGCTCCCCGTCACTTGAAGAGACCTCATCTTCCAAGGCCTGGAAGGGTGAAACATGAGCAGTCTCGACTACATCAGTCTGACCACCCCCTTTAAAAAAAACCTCTGCATTTATAAAAAGAGCACATGGGAAAGGCTGAGCATAGCCCTCTCCTCAGTTTATTATTTTGCTACATGTAAGGGATTTTTTTTTAAAGTGGTAAAGCTTATAAAATGGGGGAAGGCTTTACAGCCCATGGACCACATTTCTTCATTCGCTTGGCTTGGCCTGGGCAAGATAGTGAGGCTAGGAAGGGGAGTAATTCTCAGCACCCGGACCTGAGGTCCCCATCCCTGATGCTATAAAAACATAATATTCTTTGCCACGCACAGCCTGAAATGGTCCAGTCCTGGAGGTTTACCCTTCGGTCAGGCTGATGGTGTCATCGTTGGGCTTCTGCTCCCATTAGCATTTTCCAGTAGGTAACTTACTCTCCATGTCTTACTTGCTAAAACTAGATGCTCGTTAAAGGATCCAGAAACACAAATAACCTCAAAATTGGAGAAGTGTGGGAGGAGAGGGAGACCAGGTCTTACACATGAAAGGAGTTGCTAAAATTTTGAGGTTAGTGTGTCTGAAATCCCTTCGTCAGCATATCAGTCAAATGAAGCTCAGACCATGATGTAATTGCCTGATTTAGGAACTTTGTACCTACGAGCCAGCTTTTCTTCCATTTTCCCTAGACAGTTGGGTTGACACAGCAGTAAAGACACCGTGGGAGGCGGTATGCCTCCAAATGCCAGATGCTGGGAGTCACACGCTGGGGTGTGCTCTTGTGTTCAGGTCCTGCTTGCGAGATTTCCATAAGCATCTGATTGGCCACTTGGAGAACAGGATACTGGACTAGATGGGCCTTTGGCCGGATCCAGCGGGGCTCCATCTGATGTTTCTGTAAAGTACTTCTTCTTGCCATAACACTTTTTTAGGTTGGCAGCAGTGGAGTTTTCAAAGGATCACAAGTGATCAAGTCTTGCCCAGAACTAATTTATAAATTATTAACAATAATCTTACTTTTCATTGTTATTTATTTCTTGCATTGATATACTGGCACAGGTATGTGCGCGCACGCATATAGATCACTTAATGCCAAGAGAAGCTGAAATTACACTGTCTTAAGTAGTTGCTTAAAAGCAGGCAATAAGGTATGGGGGAAGCACACCTCGGGGGGACGGGACTGTTCCATAACACTCCCATTTAAAGGATCTTTTCTTATTCCCAACATCTTTCAGCAGCAGAATCACAAGAATCTCAAAGCAGACTGGAGAGCTTAAAAGAGAGGAAATAGTCCCCGAGAGGCCCCGCTTCCCAACTGTTATGGACAGGGATGGCAAACCTGTGGTCCTGAGAGGTAGTTGGGCCACTGCACCCATGGGATGTACTGCCTAGGGCAGGGGTCTGCAACCTTTAAGACAAAAAGAGCCACTTGGACCCGTTTCCGAAGGAAAAAAAACCTGGGAGCCGCAAAACCATTGCGGCATTTAAAACAAATATAACACTGCATATATTGTTTCTTACCTTAATGCTATATATACAGGATCGTAACGCACGCACCGCCCCCATGCGACGTCACAGCCAGTACAGCGCCCGCCACAGTGGGGTGTCGGGGCACACAATGCGCCTCCTCCCCTCACCAGTATCCGTCCCGGAGCCGCGGCAAAGGTGTAAAAGAGCCACATGTGGCTCCGGAGCCGCAGGTTGCAGACCCCTGGCCTAGGGGTTATGAGAGTTGAAGGGCCACAGATTCCCATTTCTGGTTTAGGTCTGCAGGGCAGGGGGTGGGGAACCTTTGTCAACCCAGTGGCTGACTCAAGGGTAACAGGGGGACACAGGTCAGTAGCAAAAGTGGCCAGAGCAACCAGTGTGAGTCGTACTTTGTACAGGTTACATTCCAGCCATGCAAACATCAGGCCTGATCTCAGTCCAAGGACTCAGGCCATCAGGCAGAAACTCTCAAGGAGGGCACGGAGCAGGGCCAGGATGGGGTCCAGGGAGGGTCTTGAGGGCCACATAGTGGGCTGCATTTTCCTCCAGGTCTGATGTTGCCCACATTAAAGGGTTCTGCTGGTTGTGCAGAGAGATGTGCGATGTAAACGCCGAGAAGCAGGAAACAACTCCCTTTCCCCCAAAGCACACAGCGACATAAATGGGATTATCGTGCCTATTGTGGAGGGAATTGTTTCTCTAAAACACTTGCTCCTTTATCTAGTGTACTTTTAACCTTCCAGAAATTGTGCCGAGTCAAACTTGGAGAAGTTCCAAAGGGCTGAAGACTAAAGCTTTGACAGACCAAGTCATCAGTGCTCTGTTAACAAAAAGGGGGGGAAACCACAAAAGCCTTTAAAAAATAAATAAATCCTGAACTAAATCTATTTTTGTCAAAGGAAGGGGGATGGGTGGAAAACTCTCTCATCTGAAATCCCTGTTGTGGTCTATTTGGATATCTGTCAAACTGTATGGCTTCCTTGCTTCTCCATACATGGCTCATTTATCTTAACGGAGCATTGATACTCAGTGGTGTGCAAAAGGTTTTTTAAATGTTGGATTTGAGATACAAGTCAGCCAAAATTTGGTGACAAACCTGCTCCTTGCTTCAGTATTCATGCGGGCTTTTGTGCATCCCATAATTATGTGATCGTTCCCACACAAACCAATGAAGGATTTGACATTGGGTGCAGCCTTTGGTGTTCTGTGAGAGTCTCATCTGCAGTAGTACCTTGGTTTACGAACTTAATCCGTTCCAGAAGTCCATTCTTAAAGCGTTCTTAAACCAAGGCGTGCTTTCCCAAAGCAGCAGGGGACTCAATTTACAAATGGAACACACTCAACAGGAAGCGAAACATGTTCTGCTTCCAAGGCAAAGTTCACAAACCAAAACACCTACTTCCAGGTTTGCAGTGTTCTTAATCCAAGTTGTTCATAAACTAAGCTGTTCTTAAGCCAAGGTACCACTTTATTCTGTTTCAGGAGAGAAAAACGAAAGTTTCTAGTCTTTGTGGATGGGCTTAACAAAGTATTCTGTATATAGGGCTGCTGTGAGGATGAATCCATTCACTCTACCCTGAGCTGAGTATCTGAGTAAGAGTGGAGTCAGATGGTGCCTTGGCTTCCTCAATTAATGTTTTAGAAGGCTATAGGAGGGACATAATTTGTCTAAAATCACAGGGAGGGGCAGAAATCAGGGAGTTATGGATTTCCTTAAAGATTCCCCTGAACCTTTCCTCCCATAATCTCGTATCAACCTGCCAGTGTGTTGAGAGATGAGGCCCTCTTGGCTGTCCTTATACTCAAGTAAGCATGGTTTAAGGTGCCAAGGAAGGGACTTTTCAGTGGTGGTTCCTAGCCTGTGAAACTCACTCCCTACTGAGGTATGCCTGGCCACACCTCTTCATAGTTTAAGGTGACTGGTTAAGACACACTTTCCAGCTAGAATTTGCAGGAAACCTAATTGGACAAATGGCTTAGTTAGATGAGTAAATTGCAGTTTGGTGGCTTGTTATGAGTTGTGTTGTTAATTTAAGGGTGTGGGGGTTCACACATGTATTCTTTTAATCTTATTTGATTTAGTCATAAGCCACCCTAAGGCTTGTGCACAAGGCAGTATGTGACTCGAATGAATGACCTGAACGGTGCCTGAACTTCTAGGAAGAGCAGGGTGGACGGGTGGATAAGCTCACCAGGCCAGCAGGCGCCAGTTCCCATTGTCCCCACTCCTGCCACCATTGGAGGTCTTGTTCCTTTTAGAAACGCCATCGTCAGGGTGCATCTCAGCGTAATTCAGCACTGGGATTTGAAGGGGGGGGAGGAACATTAGTCAAGCTTCAGAAAGCCCAGCGCTGTGAAAAGTGACTGACGTGTGAAAACGAGGCTACAATTAGTTCTTTCCACCAGCGCTCTCCCATTCAGTCTGGGGTCACTCCTTCGGCAAGCCGGGCACGCTTGAGCCTAATGCGTCGTGACAGGTGGAGAGGAGGAAGGAGAATCCTGGGATCCGAAGTTGTGCCTGCCGCCACTCTGCTTCCCCCGCCGCCGACACATCGGCCCCGACTGTCATTGTATCATTTTGTCCACCCTGCGCCTCTGCAGGAAATGGTGCAACCCTGGCAGGGCGGGCGGCACAGAGAGGGACGAAACAGCTTTTGGAGCAAGTCCCTTTCTCCCCGTCCCCCAGTATCCTCCCTCTTCATCCCCAAGTAGGATATTTCTTGAATCTTCTGCTCAGCAATTCCTTCTGTCAGGGAAAGCGAGAGAAAGGAAAAACCATTAGGAGGGCTAATACACCAGAGAGCAGATTCCACAGTTGAGAGAGAGAGAAAGAGAAAGACGGAAAGGGGGGAGAGAAAAGTGGGGAGAGGCAGAACAATTTATGAGTGTTCCAGGCATCGGAGGACTACATAGAGTTTCTGAGCAGGCCCCGGATTAATGTCCCGTATAAAAATGGTTTCAGGTTTAAGCAAAGCCAGCCGGGACCTTCTTTCCTTTTAAGATTTCCGTGGAGTCCTTTGATGGCTTCTGGGTCCCAGTCAGACAAAAGATAATGACTGATAGCAACTCCATGTTCCAAGAAGATCCTAAAAGCAAAGGCGAATGAAAATTGGTTATATCCAGCTGTTCTCAGACTGTCCCAGCCGCCAATTTAAGGTTTTTTTCTCCACTTACCCAGGAAGACTAATGCAAGGACACAGGGGTTGGCTTAGTACAGGGATGCAGAACTTCTGGCCCTACAGATTTTGCTGGACTGCAACTGTCATCATATAAAAATAAAAAAATCCTTCCTGTAGCACCTTAAAGACCAACTAAGTTAGTTCTTGGTATAAGCTTTCGTGTGCATGCACACTTCTTCAGATACACATATCTGAAGAAGTGTGCATGCACACGAAAGCTTATACCAAGAACTAACTTAGTTGGTCTTTAAGGTGCTACAGGAAGGATTTTTTTATTTTGACTATGGCAGACCAACACGGCTACCCATCTGTAACTGTCATCATATAAATTGGTAAAATAATGATAATCCCTGACTGCTGGCCATTGAGAATGGAGCCTGAGAACATCTGGAGAGCCACAGGTCCCTCATCCCTGGCCTTATACCATGTCAGACTAACTAGGTATTTTCTACCTTCTTCCAGCTAACTAGGCATTTTCTACCAATCTTCCCCAACCTGGTCCCCTCAACACCACCAATGAGCTTCAGGTCCAGAAACCAAACATGGTCCTCCAAGCCTTTCTGTCTGGCCCTCAAGACTCTCCCCATACCCCACACCATCTCTGCAAGCCACATCCCTCACTTACCCTCCTTCACCCTCTCTGTGCTTCTTTGCCTGGCTGTGTATTTTAACTCTATAAATGCCTCTTGCTTGCCTGGGCGGAGGGTCGAGAGAGAGGAGCATGCGTAGAAACTAACCCACTGTAAAATTTACTCATCGCTCCACCCAATTTTGCACCTGGCTCCATCCACCAATGGCATGGGAACTCTGGGTAGCTGCCCAGAAAGGAATGTGACCTTCAGGCTGAAAAAGCTTCCCCACCCCAGCCTAGATGAAGTGCTTTGAAAGGGGGATATAAATGTCTAAAATATTAATGTTGTTGCTGCTGCTGCTGCTGCTGCTGTTGTTGTTGTTGCTGTTGCTGCTGCTGTTGTAGCCCATCTTTCTTCTAAGGTGCTTACTCAAGGTGGTATACCTGGTGCTCCCCCACTCCCCATTTTATCCTTACAACAACCCTGTAGGTAGGTCAAACTGAGAGACAGTGACTAGCCCAATGTCGCCCAGGGAGCTCCAACAGTCGAGTGAGGATTTGAACCAGTAGGCTTTCTCATTGTAAAATGAGAAATGGTGTACCTTGTACATTTCCCCTGGCACTGAGGAATGCTCCCTGTTATTTGACAGCACCTGCATTTGTGTGTACAACTCTATAATCAGGACCAACAGGCATAGCTGACCTTCCATGATAAGCATAAGGTTGTCAGGGATTGTTGTCTCTCTACTTTTGTGTTATGCCATGCTCTCTGTGGCAACCATTTTGTGAGCGGCATCCTCGGCGCTCCCTCAAAATTCAAAATGCGCCCAGTAATCCAAAAAGGTTGGCCACCCCTGGACTAGTCTGACACACCGCAATACCACACCAGCTCTTATTAGGGCTGCAAATATTTATTTATCACAGAGCAAACTCAGTACTCCAAGTCCCACTCCTTAATGACAAATAACCAAATCTCCAAACTTGCAGCAAATTTGACCTTCTCTGAACATCTTTACTGCTTTGGGGTTTCTTTAGAAAAAATGTCATCGTCCCCCCCTCCAAATGAACACAGCACTCTGTTTATCCACAGAACAGGCACTGCAACCATCGCCGCATCCAAACGCAACCACTCCCAAACACCTCAGCCCAAATGTAGCAGGACCACCTATAAGGTTGAGAAGGTAATTCCTGTTTTTTAAAACAAAAACGCAAACATCCAGCCACATCCAGTGCTCTCTTCCATCCACGAAGTCAAAAGATGCCCGTCAAAGTAAGGTAAGTATCACCATCCCACTTCAATAATTTCCAGAGAGGCGACGCAGGCAAGTTCTGCTGTACCTAGAACGACTCCAGGTGGATGTTCCCAATCTCTTCAACCGCTCGCTCTCTCCTTCCCCGTCTCTTTCTGGTTCTGAGGGTCCTACGGGCTTCTGGTAGTCCAACTTTTGGGATATGTTCAGGGCTGCAATGTAGCTACTGCACATGTAAGGCGGGCGATAGGCGCATGGTGATTGGCACTGGTCTCTTCTGTTCTTTAAAGGAGGACAGCACGGTAGGATGCAAAACCTCTGGCTTTAGCATGGGTGGAATGTAGCCTGTTGTGAAAAATAAGTGTCACAGTTATGGATCCAGCCACTTTTGCCTCAGGCCCCACCAATTACTGGCAAGCGGCCCCCAGAATGTTCCCCAGGAGGGAAAACAGCCCCTCTATAGCAGACCTCTTATGATGATGTCTCATCAATAGCCTTCTCTTCCACCCTTCTCTTAATATCCTTTCAAAGCCATCCTGTGAGAACAGATTCAAGAATCTGTAGCTAGGCTGAGAAAGACGGTGATTAACTCCACGTCAGCCAGTGAGCTTCATGGCTGACTGAGGAGCTCAGCCTGCACCTCCCTGGTCCTAGACGAACCCCAAATCCCTTGAGGGTCTTTGGACCACCACCACCACCCAAACTCACCCTGCCTATCATAGCAGCAGATGTGCTGCTGTTACTCACAAACATGATTCTCCAACCTGCCAGTCAAAAGTGGTACAGTCCAGTCTGCTGCCCTGGGACTGCCTCATTCCCATCTCATTATGCCATAGGACAGTCCATCGTGATTTGTCATCTGATTGCACCTGGTGAGAATTTAGAGTCAGGTGAAATGAATTTTGACTGGAGAAAATTTCTTGCGGGAACTCTTCACCCATATATATTTGCACTTAGCTTTCTTTAACCGCCTGCTCAGAATATTTAACTTCCTGCCTCCTTGACTGTCCCTTGTGTTTCCCCAATATTTGGTTCAACTCTGAGTTTCAAGCATGTCAAACTTCTGCTGCGCCGACTGCTTAACTGGTTGCTCTTAGGGTGATGAGGCTTCCACTGTGCTGGTGCTGCAGTTCACAATCATTCTCACCTTGAAAGTGGAGGTGGGATGGTTGTTCTCTCTCTCTCTCTCTTTAAATGTCTCTTTTTCACGCTTTCTTGCTTTGGTTGGGTGTCCCGTGGCAGTTACTAAGAGCTCTTGGTATTGATCTGCCTGTGCCAAAAATACTTACTGGGGGCGGGGAATTAAGCTTGTCATCTACAGAACTGTGGGAGGAAACAGGTCAAAGGAGGTTGATGGAGAGGCATGCACACCAGCTGTTGAACAGGAAAGGCAAAGGGTACTTAGCCAGGGCAAAAGTGGAGGGATCCTCAGCACAAGAGGCTGCCTGACACACAGTGCTGGAATAAGGAGGGCAGAAAGATGGGAAGCTGCTTCTGAGGGGTCCCAGCAGATGGTGGCTATCACAACTTGTGAGCTTCCTGGATTACTGGCGGGGAACCTGCTGCCCTCCAGATGTTGCTGGACTACAGCTGCCATCATTGGAACTTAGCCTGCAGCTGGATCAGGCCAAAGGCCCATCTAGTCCACCATCCTGTTCTCACAATGGCCAACCAATGGCCCCAATGGGAAGCCCTCAAGCAGAACTGGAACGCAATAGCAACCCTCCCCCTTGTGATTCCCAGCAACCAGTATCGCCTCTGACACTGGAGGTAGTATACAGCCATAATGGCTAGCAGACACGGATAGTCTTATCCACCATGAATTTGTCTAACCCACTTTTTCAAAGCTATCCAAGTTGGTGGCCATCACAACATCCTGTGTGAGCCTGACCACTGGCCATGCTGTCTAGGGCCAGTGGGAGTCAATGTGCAACAATGCCAGGGGGTTACAGGTGCTCTAGCCCTGACATGTAGGTGGGGCACTGTTGGCACCTTCAGTGCTGGGATGGGTGGATCAGGAGTCCCATGGCCCATTCTGGGCAGCACAGTTTAACAAGGGCACTTGGTGAGTGTGCCCAAAGGAGGAGGGACCAGGAGAATGGGAGGGGTCTCAAAACCAAGAAGAAAAATGGTTGGAAGAGGTGGACCTATTTAGCCTGGCGTAGAGAACGACAAGGGGAAACACAACAGCAGGCTCCAAGTATCAGAGGGTCTGCCACACAGCAGATGGAGAAAAATGGCTCTTTCTTGCCCAGGGGCAGACTAGAAGTTGTGACTGGAAATGGCAGAGAAGAGGTCTTTGGGTAAATATTCGGACCACGGCTCCCATCATCCCTTCCCAATTACCATGCTGGCTGGAACTAATGGGACTTATAGTCCAACACTACCCGTGCATTAGGAGAAACTTCCTACCAATGAAAGCAGTTTGACAGCAAAGCAGGCTGCCTCAGGAGGTGGTGCACTATCCTCTGGAGGGATGAAGCAACGGTTGAAGGGCCACCCTGCAGGCAGGCTGTCATTGCAAGGTTCTTGCCATGAGTGGGTTGGACCAGATGTCCTCATCTAATTCTATGACCTCTGTGGTTTCAGACCAGAGCCTTTCTGAGCCCAACTTGGAAACGCCAGGGATGAACTTGGGGCTTTCCATGTGTCATCTTAAGGAAGGGTGCTGAAGCTCTGCTACTGAGCTACTGCTTCATCCCCTGAAATGTATCCTAACATTTCTGCCCTTCAGCAGTGGCAGCTGGTGCCCTTTAGGACTGGTAAGGCAGGAAACTGGGAGGCCAACAGTAGGTGGAGCCAGAGATAGGGGAAGCAAGTGCCGATGGCAGGCGGAGCCAACTAGATATAGCTTTGTCCCTGTCCTCCTCCATAGAAGGGCAAAACCAAGACTAAGGGAAGTTTCAGCCAGTGCCATCCCCTGGGCTGGTTGTAAGAAAGAAGGCAGGAAGAAGGGGCTGGCTGAGGGCAGGCACTGCCCCATTTGCCCTAATAGACCAGCTTCCGCTGCCCCTCAGGTCACCTCCTCCTCTCCCCAAAGAGCTTCTCTCTGCTTTGGCAAGCAGGTCACTCATCCATCTTCACAGACAAGCAGGATTCAGCAAATATTAACATCTGCTTCCCTGTTCCCAACCTTGCTTTTTCCTTCTTTCTGTTAAAAAAGAAAAAAAGAAATGCAACATTGGCATGAAAATCAATACTAGGTTGTTGGGGTTTGTTTTTTCTTTAAAGGAAGAGACAGGGAACCTTGTAAGGAGTTCAGAAGCCAAAAAAGCAATGTTTGGGCGGAGCTGTTGCCCACATTCCGTCTCCCTGCTGACGGCGACCCGTGGAGTGACGCGAGATGTTTAACCAGAGCCAGCTGTGCGCGAGGGGAGATAAAAGGAGCCAAATCAGACAGGATAAGACCAGCATTAGTGCGGAATATGCTACTCATTGCAGAGCTACACTGCAGTTTTGCAATCCCTGAACTCATGGGAGAATAAGGATATACATACACGCATGCGTAATTTTATCTGTACGCTGCCTTTCCACAGTTCAAACCATGCTCAAGGCGGCTTACAACATGAAATAAATACACAACCACAACATAGCAAAAGTAGTCAAAAATGATAAATGAATCATTAAAAAAATACAAAACCAAACTGAACAATTCCCACATAAATCACAACAAAATCTAAAATAAAAATACAAAAAACCAGCAGCGCTCAACAAGGAAACCCAAACACCCCAGCCTACTGTTCAGCAACCTCACCTTTTTTAGTTGGAGTCAGTCCGGGCCCCAACCCTCCCAAGCCAGGTGGGGAAAGCCTGCAAGGAAGGGAGCAGATCTCCCAGGACTCACAGCCAAGTTGGTCTCTGGCCTCTTCAGCTTTTGTAGGAATAAAACAGAGAAGGGAGAACCATGCACACTTGAACTCCTTGGAGGAATATAAATGTAACAAATATACAATAAACCTGGACTGGCCATGAGAGGTGGCCGGGGGGGGGGGGGCAGGGAGTGTTTGAAGTTATTCATATCTCCTAAAATGGGGGAGGGGACACACCACATACAAACCTACCTGTACCCCAGACGGGTAAATGTAAACCAAGCCCAACCATACAGTTGCACACCCCCTCGTAAGCCCCTCCATGGCGTTCTAATGTCTGTCCTCTCTCTTTTTACCTGAAGCACTGACCAGAGTGGTGCCGCCTTTTCTCTCCCCACTACAGAGCTACAGCGAGAAGGAAGCATCGAGACGCTCAGCAATAGCTCGGGCTCCACCAGCGGAAGCATTCCACGCACCTTTGACGGATACCGGTCGCCTCTCCCGACCAACGAGAGCCAGCCATTGAGCCTCTTCCCGACAGGCTTCCCGTAAACAACTCCCGGCGTTCCTGAAGCAAAATAACAATAATCCTGCAGGCCAACGACATGTTGCGCCGGATAAACTCTTGATGTGCGTTCACCCCAGTGGCTGGCTCCGATGCTGGGTGGTTCTTGTCACCCTAACCAACGCCACGTCCGCTTTCCGCACTTCCAGAACTGTATGAACAAATTTCTGATTTGCTGCACCGTGCAATATATAAACGAGACTCTCCTCTTTTAATCCTAATGGCTTTTCTAGTACAAGGAAATGGCTGTTTCGAATAAGTATTTTAAGCAACTTTTATGTTCTTGTAACCATAATCTGCTTCCCCACTCCGCGCATCATCCGTAAACCTCAGATGAGGGAAACATCTGTGGCCCAGCAGCTGTTGCGGGACTTTAACTTCCATCTGCCCCAGCCAGCACAGTCAGTGATCAGGGATGATGGGAGTTGTAGTCCGGCAATGTCCAGAGAGCCACAAGGTTACCTACCCTTGTCAAAAGGAGACTCACGTCTCTAAACCTGAATTTACTGCTAGCCTTCATTTTGTAACAATTAAAGCTGCTACCCCTATTTGGGAAATGGCGTCATAATTCTGAAGAATGAGGCCCGTATAAATTAAGGCTGTCAGCATGCAACACTCTGCAAATGTATGAAACAGTGACAGATTGATTACTGGAAGGGGATATATTGGAGGACAAGCTCCAAAGGGGACACTGGTTTCTTTGCAATACTGATCTTGTTTCTTCATCCCTCCTCCCCGGCAAGATTTTAAATTGATACCAGGAGTATTACAAGCAAAGGAAGTATCTTCTCTTTTCTTTTGTCCTTGGGAAGGATGATCTCTGATGATTCCATGTATTTTAGAAACGTACTTCATCTGATTAAATCCAGTGGGAAATCCTTCTCGTTGAACTATTATAACATTGTTCCTTGGAACTCCTCCTATCTTATCCAAAAATGCATGTGATCTTAAATAAATCTCTGTGGTGAAAGGATCTTGTTTATATTTTTGTGCCGAGGTCATTTTGGTGGTGTCGGTGGAGGCTGTGGGCTGCAAAGAATCTATAAAGTTGCTTTATACAGAGTCAGATCATTGATGCATCTAGCCCAGCACTGTCCACACAGGCTAGCAGCAGCTTGCCAGAATTTCAGGCAGGAAGCCTTTCCCAGCCCTCCTTGGAGAAGCTGCCATGGATTGAACCTGGGAACTTCTACATGCAAGGCAGGTGCTCTGTCCCAGAGTTATAGCCCTTCTGCTTCCAGCTCTGTACCACCTGTGGCACAGCATCCCTGGTCACAGCCAACTGCCCAGTGTTAGAAACTCAGATATATAAGCTAGGCGCCAGGTTTACAGTCGCCAAAACGGAATGCCTAGTTGCCATTTTGGGGCCAGAATCATTCATTCTGATTGTGCAGATAAAATAAAATGGATAGAATTCTACAAGATATGTTGCTAGTGTGTGAAAACAGCCAAGATCCAAGGATCCCCAGGCACGCAACTCCAGATGGTGGAGACCATCCTGGCACCCAGGCATCTTCACCTGGTCGCAAGTGGCCAATAGCCAGGTGCCCACATACCTGTACCCGCATATCTGGAAGTAAAACCCATTAAACACAAAGAGATTTACTTCTGAGTAGTACCACTGCACTCTAAGTTAACTATACAGTGAATTCTTAATGAGTGCCTGAGCCTAAGCCTCTTTGCAAAGTTTTCACATTTTTCATTTGCCTTTTTTTTGGTGCGGGGGGTCTTTAACATCCATACACCTTTACTATGAAGTATCCACAGAGAATAACTTCTGTGGTGTCTCAGATGAACCCACCCCAGAAATGATGCATCCTGGTTGCTAGAGGAAAGGCAAATAACAAAAATTATATGGACCTAAATAATGAGGCAGAAGTAAGATAAGTGCACTAAAGGGGAAGGGAAAACAGCAGCTCTTAAGGACCCCAGCAATTGCTGCAGCCTGGTGTCCAAAGAGCTCACTTGCCAAGCACAACTCTGACTTCACTTATTGGCTATTAAAAAAAACAGGCAGGCAGAAGCAGCCAAGCTGTTTCATCACACAAAAGTTGCTTAGAAAGAAACCTTCATATTTTCCTGCGGAACTTTCTTTCTAGCAGGGCTAGAGACTTCCTGTTTTAAAAATGGAAGTTCAGAATCTGTGTGTGCCAGTGGCTGTGGGCCTGGTATTCCCTGTACCTGCCTCTCAGTGGCCCTGCAAGCTCCTCTTAAGTCTCAATATCTCTACAAGGTCCTTTTCATTTCATTCTGTGTTTTTAGCAGAGACTTATAAAGGTAGGTAAGGTTCTTCCAGGATTCAAAATATATTTGCCTACTTCACATGATGAAAGGACAAGGCATCTTGAGTCACACAGCAAAAAGGAAACGCATCCTAACCCACAAATCTTTTAACGCCTCCTCAGCTTTGTAGCGGATGGGAAACTGACCTATTTTTTTCTTCTTTTGTGAAAAATAAAATAAAAATCTTTTTTAAAAATAATAATAATCACATTTGCTCTTTGGCTCAGCACTATCAGCTTAGCATGTCCCAGGTGGTGAGTAAAAGAATTGTCTATGCGTCTACATAAGAAACCACTAAAATATTGGGTTTCCAAAATTTCTGTTGTATCTCCAATCTCTTTCCCTTTTCAAAATCGCAACCATGCAAATAAATGGGAAATTCTCAGAGTCTCTTTAATCTCTGCATATTTTCTCCAGGAATAGCCCCCATCAAAATAGGCAACAGTCACTCCCAAACAACATGTGGTGAGAGAACACTTCATGGAACACACACAAAAGAATTGCATAGACTCCCCAGAGCTCAAAGAACTCACCACCCATAGAAGAGAGATCTGGCTGCCACCACCCTGGATGATGCCCTGCTCTGTTTTTGCCTCTTTTTAGAAAAGCCTCTGCTGAGTATCTGGGGGTAATTCAGCCCTGGCTCTGCATGTGGCTGGATAAATGAGTTGCTCCTGATACAGCTGCAGAAGGAGTAGGATTAACTTGGCCATCAGAGGATGTTGGGTTTCTTGTCTATCTGCATGAATCCTCGTCTTTCCAGTCAGGAAGCATCCCCATCACCAGTGATTCATAAATATATGAGCATCACTGTTGGCATTATCGGGCCCCTATCATTAGTCATGGGACGCGGGTGGCGCTGTGGGTTAAACCACAGAGCCTAGGACTTGCCGATCAGAAGGTTGGAGGTTTGAATCCCCGCGACGGGGTGAGCGCCTGTTGCTCGGTCCCTGCTCCTGCCAACCTAGCAGTTCGAAAGCATGTCGAAAGTGCAAGTAGATAAACAGGTACCGCTCCAGCGGGAAGGTAAACTGTGTTTCCATGTGCTGCTCTGGTTCGCCAGAAGCGGCTTAGTCCTGCTGGCCACATGACCCGGAAGCTGTATGCCGGCTCCCTCGGCCAATAAAGCGAGATGAGTGCCGCAACCCCAGAGTTGGCCACGACTGGACCTAATGGTCTGGGGTCCCTTTACCTTACCTTTATCATTAGTCATACTGCAGGATGGGGGCACTGCTAAGCTCCTCCAGAGGCCTTTGGCCCTTCTCCTCCTCATAGCTACTGCCTAGCCACTCAGGCCAGGTGAGGAACCTGTTATCAACCCAAGGACCACATTTTCTTCTGGGCAACCTCCCAGGTGCCACATGCTAGAGGTGGACAAAGGCAAAAATGAGTGGCGCAACAAATGTAAATGCCACCTAGTTTCTAGACACACCCTACTCTATCCTACATCCAGACATGCGAGAGGCATTATCAGAATTCACGGAGACATTCCAGCCAGGCAAAAACACCCAAGGAGGTTACAAAGCAGGCCAGTGAGCAGTGCGACCTTGGGCGAAGGCAGAGGTCCAGAGAGAACCAGAGGGCCACAGTCAGGACCCACGGCCGAGGCTCCCCACCCCTGACTTAGAAGCATAGAACTATAAAGTTGGAAGAGACTGGGGGGGTCCATCTAGTCCAACCCCCAATGCATGAATTTTTTGCCCGATGCAGGGCTCGAATCCACAATTCTGAGATTAAGAGTGTCATGCTCTGCTGACAGGGCTATCCCAGGCTCTTGCCCTCTCCAAAATTGCAAGGAATGACAAGAGAATGCGGAGAAAGAAGTCTCCATTTGCCTCCCCTTTCTACCCAATGGCACAGAGGGGATAGTTAGGGAAGGGGGGAAAATGGTGACCACCAGGCTTAATGGTGCTGCTGCAATGCAGCTGGTGGTTGCAGAGAGAAAGGGTAAGGTTAGGAGGACAGAAAGGCCGTTTTTCGTCCCTGTTTTCACCCCTGCGATCTTTCACACACACCCCAAAAGTAATTCAAGCCAAAGGCAATAATCTTTGGGCTTGGCCTTATGTTGTCATTTGTGTGTAGCACAGCAGACCCACCTACCTTTTTTGACAATCCCTTGCCATTTCCTCCAAATATATGTCAGGGAATGGATTGGACCAAGCAAGGACCTCGTGAGCAAGTGGAACCAGCGAGGTTAAGCCAGTCCACTCCAGCACGGATTTTTTAACACAGTTCATGCCAAGGTCAGTTCCAAAAGTTCAATCACAATCCAGATTAACACATACAGGAGGGATTGTCAAAACCCGACGCTTCCTCCTCCTCCGCTCCCACTCCAGACAGCACCCTCCGGGGACAAAGTTCTTGTATCCAAGGGAGGCAAAACTCCCGTCATCGCCCTCAGTTTGGTCTAAATTGTTCTAAATTCTCAGAAGCAGCTTTGGGGGAAGTATGCAAGGGCTGGCAAGCATTAAATCTCTCTCCCTCGCTCTGTTTTAAAGAATCATCAGCCACGGGGAAATTCCCGCTTCTTCTTTTTTTAAGTGCCCCTTTGAACCAAGACTTTTGGTGTTGTCAGAAAGGGGAAATTTATAGAATACGACAATACCTGAGCATCTTCTGTCAGAGGAGAAAACACTGTGCAATTTGGGGTCGGGGAGAGGTTCATAGCATCTCATGGGGCCATAGCACTGCAGCAGAGCACACACTCTGTCTTCGGAAGGTCCTGGGATAAATCCCCACTGAGATTCTTTTATCTCAGTTCGTGGAGCTGGGGGAAATTCTTCTCCTGATGAGATGTCAAAGGGTGTCAGGACACCTGCCTTGCATGCAAAAGGTCCCAGGTTCAATCTGTGGCAGCAGCACAGGTAGGGCTGAAGCGCAGCTGCCACTCAGTCAAGACAACACTGGGCTAAGTGCATCAATCGTCTGACTCAGTAAAAGGCAGCTTCCTATGTGTGTCTTCTCTTGCTCAATTGGTTGGAACATGGTGCTGGTGATGCAAATGTTGCAGGTTCAATCTCTGTATGGGACCACTCATATTCCTACATTGCAGGGGGTTAGACCTAGTTGATCCCCCGGGTCCCTTCCAACTCTACAATTCTATGATTTCTATGTGCCTGTTTAAATCAGCCCTTGATTTGGAACCGTGAGGACTGAGTATAATAAGGCCGCTTTCTACATTCCTACCTAGTAGGTAGCCAGTGGTGCCCCTCCAAACTTTGTTGGACTCCAAATCCCATCATCCCTGACCACTGGCTTCAAAAGCAGTACAGAGAGGGGTGCATGTAAAATATTGATAGGCAAGAATTCATATAAATGAAAATTAATAATTTTTCATTCTCAACAACCGTGTGAGCAACACAAAGAAAAAGAGTGACTGGCTCAAGGCCACCCAATGAGGGGGGATTTGAACCCAGATCTTCCCAACACTTTAACAACCGCACCACAATGAAACAGACATCCCCTCTACTGCAAATGTTCAGCCTCACGCAAGAAACCCTGAAAGACCTTCTGCGAACGCAGGCTTTTAAAAGCCCTTTTCCAAGTTGTAGCGACTGGCCGCCCCCCTACGGAGTTCAAACACCGAATTGTCTCATTTAACCCGGGCTCGGCTGTAGATCACTCTTTGGGATAAAGTGGGAGCTTTCTAATAAAGCCGAGCTCACGTTTCCTGAGCGAACGTGAAATACGGCTTTGCTACCCTTTCCCTGGTTTCTGTAATAAACACGCCCATGTACTGCCCTTAAATCATTTTGGGTGGCAGCGCTGGAGTGGGGGGCAGAGGGGGGTCGTTCACTTGCACAGAGAGAGAGAGAAGATGGCAAAGAAAGGTTGCTTTGCAAAGGCAACCTGAAGTTCAAATTCACGGCATGTGGGAAATCCTAGAAAGGATCCGGTGCACGCCTCGAATGAGGCGGTCAAGCAACCTGCACCACTTCAGAGGGCAGTTGCAGGGGGAGGGCAGGAGGGTTGTTTTTGCAGTAGTAGTTACTTAAAATATTTTTATGCCATCCTTCAATCAAAAATGACAACCAAGGCAGGGCAAAGCGTTCTGTTAAAATGCATAATGCAAAAGGAAAAGCCAACCATATTAAATCAACAGGTAAGATGTGTAGCTCAGTGGTAGAACATCTGCTTTGCTTGCAGAAAGTCTGTTTCTATCCCCAGCATCTCCAGGTACGGCTGGGAGAGACTCCTGGCTGAAACCCTGGAGAGCTGCTGCCAGTCTATGCTAAGCCATACTGAGCTAGGTGGACTAATGGATTGGCTCAGTATGAGGCAGCTTTCTGTGGTCCCAGAAACCAAGAGGACATAAATAATCGTTTTTAGGGAAAATATAGGTAGAGCATCTGCTTTGCTTGCAGAAGGTCCCAGGTTCAATCCCCAACATCTTCTGGTAGAGCTGGGAGAGAATCCCGTCTGAAACCCTGGAGAGCTGCTGCCATTCAGTGCAGACAATACTGAGCTACGTGGACTAACTGCCTGACTCAGTATAAGGCAGTTTTCTTTGATAAGGCATGACTTTGCATAACATATGTTAAAATGCCATTAAAAGCAGGGTAACACAGGCAAGTTTTTAGAAACATTATGAAATACCTGGATTGATGGAGCAAGCCATATATCTCTCAGAAGGGAATTCCGCAAGGTAAGAGACTTTTAAATGGTTCCCTCTGTAAGACAAAAATATATATTAAAGTTTTAAAAAGCACTACAGAGAGGGAAATCCTGCTTTGAGATGCCCAAGTTTTATACTTGCAAAACACCCAATTGGTTTATTTACAAGTTTCAAAGCACATTGCCTGACTTATCACTCATAATGGACCTTAATTTGCTCTGTCTTGAATTTGCCAACATTCAGCTTGGATGTCTATGAGTTCTGGTATTATGAGAGAAAATCTACACCTCTTACCATATCCCTCCCCTTGAAAATTAGACAGGTGCTATATCTGTTTTATTTTCGGTGCCTATGGTTGACATTCCTCTTTCAGGTACGTAGCTGTGTTGGTCTGATGCAGTCGAAATATATTTTTTAAATGCCCAGCATGCCCAGTAGCACCTTAGAGACCAACTAAGAACAAACTTAGTTGGTATCTAAGGTGCTACTGGACAATTATACACACACACACACACACACACACACACACATATATATATATATATATATATATATATATATATATATATATATTCTCATTGAAAGAGGAATATATATATATATATATATATATATATATATATATATTCCTCTTTCAATTAGTCTCTTTAAGATGAGATTTTTCCCAGTCTACCTCTGTATTGGAATTGTTTCTAAGATGTTTTTAAAGATATTAATGAGTTTTCTTTTTTAAAAAAAAGGTTTCTGAAGATGTTTCTAAAGATATTTTTGTTGTTTTATTACTTGTTTGCTGCCATGAGCTCCTTTGGGAGGAAGAGCAGGATATAAATTCAATAAACAAGCAAACAAATAACCCCCTGCCCTTAATCACTTTATTTCTAAACTAAAAAGCCCCAGACATTGTAAGCTTTCCTCCTAGGAGAATCAGCTCAGCCCTCAGATCCTTTTAGCGGCCCTTCTCTGCACCTTTTCCAGCTCTACAATATCCTTTGTGAGATGTGGCAGCCAGAAGTATAGCCACATGGCATTCCAAGTGTTTACTTGCACAGTATCATAAGTTTGAACAAAGATATCCCACCAACAGAGACTCAAGGAGAGTCGAATCCCACCAACAGCAATTATATTTTCAATCGCTTTCCTAATGATCCCTAACATGGAGCACACATAGCAGCCCATATTCCGGGTCTGTGTTTTCAACAAGACACCACAATTACCCCAAGGTCTCATTCCTGGCCAGTAGAAATAGAAGATAATTTCAATTCCGTGTGCATTTAAAGCTGAATCTACCAAATAACACACCTTCCAAAACAATATGTGAACAGCCACCCTTCAAAATTCACATTTATCCAAAATTTGCAAGTTCAAATTACCCAACTTCAGAACCCCAACCTATGTCTACAAATATGTATATATTAAGGAAAGTATGCGCAAAACATCATATCTAAGTGAATACAGCATATAAAAATGCATTATATATGGGGAAATTGTTTCCAAAGATGGGCTCATTAGTCAGAACTGCATATAAAAATTATTTAGTATTTTATTTAATTAATTAAGTTGTATACTGCCCTTCATCCAAAGATCACTGGGCAGTTCACAACATAACCAATAACCCTTCCTTCCCACAAACATATTTAATCAGGCAAAAGCCTGTTTATAGAGAAACGATTTTGCCTGGTGTCTTATCATGTTTAATAGAAGGCTTCAGGTTAGCCTCCCTGGGGAGAGCATTCTACAAATAGGGAGCCACTGCAGGAAAGGCCCATTCTTGTGTTGCCACCCTCCAGACCTCTAGGGGATGGGGCAAAAGAAGGCCTCAGATGATGATCGCAGGGTCCAGATTGATTCATAATGGGAGAGACAGTCTTTAGAAGAAATTTGCAGTGAAATGCTGATTAATTTTCATTAGAAATTTTTTTAACGCAGATTGCTTGTAAATGTGGAGAACACAATTTAATAGTGTAAAACCGAGAAAGTGAGGGAAGCAAAATTAACAAATCCATCCACTGCTGCTGGTTAGTCACCATCAGTTCTTACTCCATAAACTTATTTGCAAAATTAGGATTGTTTTGCCCCGGTGTGCATCATTTTACACTTACTTTCATTGAACCACATTTGCTATTTGTTTGTTTGATAGTTTAAGTAGTTAGATTATCTTCTGATATTGTCGCCACCTAAGTTTCGTAGTAATTATAGTCGCATTAAAACACCAGAATCAACCAGGGGGGAAACAATCAATAACAAGCGTAAAATCAGCTTGTTATTGATCAGCTGTCGGAGGCGACTGCTTCACTCTGCCTAATGGTAAAGCTAGTCCTAAAGTTTGGATCTTTGCACACACAGCCCTCCTGACTTTTTTTTTTTTAACCAGGCCAGGAGCTGCTGAAATTATCCCATGTTTCTGGCCAGATTGAAGAACAACCTTTTTCTGCATTCACCATGAGGTGATATTGGTTCCCCTCGCCTCATCAGGACTGTATATGTCCAAATGTTTCCTCTTAAAAGACAAAGTTAGCAGCTGTGAAACATTAAGGGCGAGGTGATCCGAGCTTAACTGGCGGAAGCAGAGGATTTTTACAATATCTTAGGAGCGCGAGGGGGGAAGCCAACAGGATATGGAAGAAGATGGTCTCTCCCATGTGTGAACTATCTAAAGCCCCTAGACGAGCCAAGTCCTGAGAACAGAAAAGAAGAATCAAGCACTGAGTTGGGAGGGGGGGAGAACACACTAAGTCAGTGTGGTACAGTGGTTAGAGTATCGGACTAGGACCTGGGAAACCAAGGTTCAAATCCCTACTCAGCCATGAAACTTATCTGGGTGACCTTGAGTCCGTTTATGCTTCTTAACCTATCTTACCTCACAGGACTGTTGTGTGACTAAAACAGGAGGGAAATAACTACACATAGTGATTTCAATTCCTTGGAGGAAAAGTGGGATATAAATGAATAAACAAACAAACCGACTTACCCGTTTATTTTATCAACATAAATCTGACGGGGGCTCCCACCCCACAACAATAGTAAAGGACTACAGACAGTTAAGTCCAGTCACAGCTGACTCAGGGGTTGCGGCGCTCATCTCGCTTTACTGGCCGAGGGAGCCAACGTTTTGTCCGCAGAGTTTTCCCAGGTCATGTGGCCAGCATGACTAAGCCGCTTCTGGCACAACGGAACACTGAAACCGGAGCAACGCACAGAAACGCCATTTACCTTCCCACCGGAGTGGTACCTATTTATCTACTTGCACTTTTTTGGGGCGTGCTTTCAAACTGCTAGGTTAGCAGGAGCTGGGACCGAGCAACGGGAGCTCACTCCGTCATGGGGATTCGAACCGCCAACCTTCTGATCAGCAAGCCCAAGAGGCTAAATGGTTAAGACCACAGCGCTAAACAGTCTGCTACTTGGTGAAAGGGAGGAGAAGGAATTGTAGAAGAAATGGCCCCACCATTTCCTTTTGGACCTGGAGGATCAAGGCCGGCCCAGGACATTTTGACGCTGTAGGCAAAACGTTTAGATGTGCCTTCACACCCACACCCCACGGATCCATGCCCTCACCTGACTCCTGCTGTTTGACCTGCCCCACCAGCTCAACTGCACCCTCAGGGCTGGCAGAGGTGCAACTGTGGGGGCAGGGAAGGGGTTGGATCTGCTGCCTTAGGCATATGGCTTCACCTCACCTTATGGGTGGGCCACCCCTGCAGAGGATCTTGTTTGGGTGCTAATTTGCACCATGGGCTTCTCATCTTGCAAGGTTTCCCAAGGTAGGCCCAAAATCCACCACCACCCCACAGAAGTGCAGTGCCTACTGGGAGAAAGGGACAGGGCCTGTCCCCAACTGATGACATCACCAATACTGGTGTTTCTCACTCCGAGTGTTTTTCACCCTTAATACACATGCAGTGATACACCAGGCAACTTCCTTTTCCAATGGTTATTTGAAGCATGCTGTTTGTTTGTTTGTTTGTTTGTTTGTTCATGCAAAATCCCACTAGCACACAGCTTGGAGAATTACAGAATCCCAGTATCATGCAGATCAGGCCTGCAAGTTTCATTCAGGTGGTCTGCAGATTTGTGATTGAAGACGGGGGACAGGGTGCATCTATCACATTAAATATCTATATTGGTTTTAATTCTATTTTTATTGCTTCTTCTATTTCTTTGATTGTATTTTATCACATTACAATTTAAATTCTATGGCATGCAAATTGCAACACAATAGAACACAATGAAGAAGTCACAATAATACAATTAAAAACCACACAGGATCTTGCACCCCACATTCTCTGTCTCATCCTTCAAACTCACCCCAGGCCACCTCTCACTGGCTTGGTTTTGCACCCTAAATGTTTTTGCCTGAATGTGTCCTTGAACTCTGACGATGTCCCTTGCACATATGGATAAGAGGGGGCTGTGTGAGTGTGTGTAGAAACTAGTCTGGAGAAGTGGATAAAGAAAAGTTTTTCTCCCTCTCTCATAACACTAGAAGTTGTGAGCATTGAATGAGACTGAATGATGGAGGATTTAGGACACATAAAAGAAAGCACAGTGCATGGTTAAACTATGGAACTTGCTCCCAAAGCAGGCAGTGATGATCACCAACTTAGGATATAGGACAACCAGAATGCTGCAATTATCATCAGAGGCCCTTCTTTGTGTACCTCCTCCATGAGACTTCTGGAGGGTGGCAACACAAGAACGGGCCTTTTCTGCAGCAGCTCCTCACTAGTGGAATGCTCTCCCCAGGTAAGTTCGGCTGGCACCTTCATTATACAACCTTGGGTGCCAGGAAAAGAAGTTTTCCATTTTAACCAGGACTTCGGCTGATTTACAGTCTATGTGAAATGTGTTTGTGGGAGCATGGTTATTGGTTTTTGTTCTTGTTCTTACTATGTACTTTATGGCTTTATTCTGTATTTGTATGCTGTGAACCACCCTGAGATCTTTGGATGAAGGGTAGTATACAAATTTAATAAATAATAATCATAGTCATAGTAAAACAGTGAAATAGTAATGGCCAGTGTGAAAGCAGGATAATGGACTAGATGGGCCCTAGTCATAGCTGTCAACCTTCTCTTTTTTTGTGGGAAATTCCCTTATTCCAGCGCCATTTCCCGCTGCTATCCCGGATTGTTAGATATCCCATAGACTGTCCCCAGGACAGGTGAGGCTGCTGATCCCTTATTTTCAAATCTGAAAGTTGACAGCTATGCCCCTGGCCTGATCCGACAGGCTCTTCTTATGTTTTTACTATACAAATATTAAAATTTGCATTCATTGCTCCACCCACTTTTGCCTCTGTCCCCATCCACTATTGGCATGTGGCCCTCAGGAGGTTCCCAGAAAGGAACATGGCCCTTGGGCTGAAATAGTGTTCCCCACACCTGGTTTAAATAATGCAGAGCTAGATAAACCAATTGTCTGACTCAGTATAAGGCAGCTTCCTCTCTTCCGAGGTTCATCCAGTAACACCGATTACTGCGTCAAAATTCCCCCTCCCCCTGATACTCGCACACACACGCACACACACAAACACTAACCCAGCCAAGGATCAAACTCCCTTTGACACCTCCCATAGGCTGAGACAGGCTTAATGTGTGTGCAATTTCACACTCTGACTAATCTACGCACTGAGCAAACTAATCCCCGTAATAACCGGCAGATTTAGTTGTAAATCAGGCCATCGATCCAGAAAGTCCCCAAATGGCTCGGTGGCTAAAAATACTTTATACTTGGGAGAGAGAGGAAACAACTCACACACATGGCCTGAATGTGTGCAAGAGATTTTTATTTTTATTATTCCACTGGTAGATTTTTAGCCAAAGCCGTTTGCAAAAATCTTGTTAATCCTTTTTTTTTTCCTCGCAGAAAATCACAACCCAGAATTATTGAGAGGGTCGAAAATCCCACTCAGGCACCCCCTCGAAAGCAGCTCATTGCCACAAGCAAGCTGCTTCTCTCTCCCCCCCCCCCCATTCCCTCCATTGGCCTTAGCTGCAGCAATGGCACAGGATGGTCACAAGCATCACAACTGCTTGAAGTGGAAAGTTCAGACATTAAATGCTGACAATAACAGAGGTAAATCTGTGGGTGGGGACACGTCATAGTAGAAGGGAATATAAACTGTGCAAGAATGGGAAGCAGAAAACTGGGTGCTCTGAAGAAGCAGAGAGGCGGGAGGCTATGTGGAATCAAGATGGTGGGCTGAACCTTTCAAAATTGTGCTAGTAGGGTTGCCATACGTCCGGAACTTCCCGAAAATTGCTGGAACGTCCATGAAAATCTGGACGTAGGGCAGCCCATGTTGGTAGTGTAGATTTCATTAAAAATAGCTCAAAAAGTCAACAATTTTGGGCAAAACTAAAAAAAGTCAACAACTTTGTCCATCCCCCTGTCCCCCCAGAAAAAGAACCCCACAAACCCTATGTGCTGGACTTACCGGTAACCAAATTCTGCATGTTGGTTCCTGAGATCAAGGAGCAGGTTTTCATCGATGTTTGGATACAACTGGGTGTCATTTTGAATCTGTACCTCTTTGAAACTGCACCGATAGCTTTCCTATGTGGCAAAATATTAACATATGCATATTACAGGCCATTCCAACGTGTGTGTGTTAATTACTTGGTGCAATTGCATTATGTACTTGAGATTTAATATGGTTCAATGAAAAGTAATAAAAAATATAGGAAATGCACTGATTTTAACCACCAATTTCAAAACCATGCTGAATTTGTTTGTTTTTTTAATTTCCAAGCAGCACCAGGTATGAGGCTGCTAGTAAATGACTAAAGAATAATATATAATATCTCTATTTATTTATTTATTTATTTATTTATCTATCTCTCTATCTATCTATCTATATAACCAGGTTTGCTTAATAATAATAATAATAAAACTTTTATTTATTTCCCGCCCTCCCCGGCCGAAGCCGGGCTCAGGGTGGCTAACATCAAATATACAACATTAGTATAAAATCAAACAATAATTAAATTACCTCCTAAAAACAGGTCAAAATCAAATTAAAGTCTAATTAGATGGCTTTCCACAGGGTTAGGGTTGGGAACAATCTTATGTGTATGTGTGTGTAAAAATCCAGGAAGGAAATAATGCAAGTCTAGCACTTTTCATACCCTTTGCCTCCAGCCCTTACCCCCCCCCTTTATTTTAGCAGAATAATAAACAACACCTAGCAGTATAATATTCTCTCTAACTTCCACTTACTGAGAAGACTAAGAAGAAGCCTGGCTGCTGCTGCTGAGCTTGACTGCTGAAAAATAAAAGGTAGGCCCAAAACCACCACCACCACCCCACGGAATGAAAGTGAGCCTCTCATTGGTCGAGGCAAATGAAATGGAAGGCACAATGCACCTGACTGGACAGAACTGCCGCCCAAATTCTTAAGGAGCTCCTCTGATTGGATACTGCTCATGAGGCAACAGTAGGGCAGCAAAGGATTAATAGGAAACAAAGGAGCCCTCCGGCCTTACTTGACATTCTCCTGCCTATTTATTTCTTTAATAAAATTGTATACACAACTTGATAGTTAAAACACACACACACACACCCTTGAAGTGGTTTACAAAAGATAAAACAGTGAAATCAATAACAACCATACTTTAAAACACTTTAAAAGTTAAAACACTAAAACCGGACTAAAATTACCTCAGTTTCCTAAGCAGCTTGTCCAAGCAATAATGTTGCTTTTGTAAACTCTGTTGGGGTTTAATTTCTATCAAGCATTATATGAATTTTGTGGGGGGAAATAATGAAATAAAACGTTTTTCTCCCTTGGGAACTGCTCCTCATCCATCTAGCTCAGTACTGTCTACTCTGGCTGGCAGCAGGTCTCCCCATGGTTTCAGACAGAGTCCTTTTCCTACTTCTACCTGGAGATACTGAGTGTTGAACCTGCAACCTTCAAGGTGGGCTGCAAGGGTCTGAAATAAATATATCAGGCTTCTAGAGCTGCTGCTTCTTCCTCGAGCCCAACCATGTCCTCACTGAGGGCAGTCAATAGCCTTTTAATCTATATGTGCAGATGATCTATGGCTGTAATGTGCGAGTGTATATGAACAACCAACCATCTGCTTCCCAACCCATGATACTGAGTGCTGGCAGGCCACATGAGGCCCATATGAATCCAGTCCAGAGGTCCCATTGAGAAGCCCCACTGATATAACACAGAGGGGCTTGTTCCCAAGGGAGCAAGTGTAAGGTTTGTTTTGCAGACCGCTTTGTATTTCATTGCTTCAAAAAGCCAAGCGGTTTACAAATCCCAACAAAAATAAGTCAAATATAAGAAACACAAGATAGATTCATACCAAGACAATATTCCTGCTGCGACTAATCCACATCATCACAATTCTACATTTTAAGCAACATCATTGAATAGAAATCTCTTAATATTGCACCGTTTGGCTTTGTTTCAGGGAGTTGGTGGCCCCCGAGGTGCTGTTGGAAAGGAGAAAGATTTGGCCACATTCACCGAAAGCGCCCAAATTTGCTGACAAGCTTGCTGGGCGCTGGCGCCCACTGCATGACTGACAGGGAATGAATGAATGACAGGGAATGAAGCTTTGGGAATGAAGCTCTCTGGCAACTGGAAGATAGGGAGAGCCCTGTGGCCTTTGATGAGAACAAAGGGGTCATTGGCAAAGGGCTGTTGAGTGGCCTTATCGGTCCTCCCCCAGCTATGATTCAATGGATAATAGCATCCTCCACCTCTCCGCACTTGTCTATCAGAGGTCCACTGATTACAAACGCATGAGATTGCAATTCCTCCTCCTTTGATTAGCCAGCTCTTGGCCTAAAGGTGCATGATAACCCTAGCTCCGGAAGGCTCTTCAGACTCCTCTGGAGAAGCTTATCAAGGAGACAAAATGCTCCTCATACATGTATGTCCAATACTCAAGAGATTTGCAAGGGCTTAGGCCCCGCTCCTCCTCCACCGCCACCCTACCCTGAAGATCGCAATAACAGCCTTCTTAATTATGAGAGCAGGTCAAGGATAGGGCTCCTAGACTGCAAGCATAGAGGTTAGAGAAAACTTCAAATAAAGATTTGGTGGGAAAATTAATGTTAAGTGGTAGCAGTACAGATACTACTAGTAGTAAGTGTTGAGTAGTGGTTTTTAATGTGAGCAGTTTTAAATTGATACTGAAAATAAAATATGGTAAGCATTCTGGTTAGAGCTGTTATTTTTTTTAATTCCTAGGTTGCCAGGTAAATGTAAATTCGTGGTAGTGTTGTTGCTGCTAAATGGCATATAAATGGGTAGTGTTAGATAGTTTTAATTTTTTCATTTGTATTGTGAGGAAGATCATGGGCATAAACAGGTCATCTGCACACATAAGGCATGTTCACCTGTTACACTGAACACAAGTACAAGCTGTTTCCACACATGTACAAGCATTTATGAGAAAGGGTACCCATGTGTTGATTTGTGCAGACTCAACTGTTGTGTGCCCAGGAGCATTGACTGTACATTTGTTGAATGTTCCATGTGAATGGTTGCAAGTTTGTGCAGCTCAACTATCTGTATATACAGATTGTACACTCGTTTAACATAATGTGTGAACACCATAACAGTCTTCCTTATTATGGTGAGATGCACTGTATTTCTAGCAGGACTGATCATGGGAAGGAGGGGTGGGGTGGTGAGGAGAGTCCCGAAAGCTCGATGAAGAGGTTTGGAGAATCACATTTTGTCCCCGGGCCTGAGATTCCCTACCCCTGATCTATACATATAGATTAGCACACGCACATTTCATGATCTGTGCCTTCTTTTTTAGTGATGCATTTCCTCTTCCCTCCCTGTCACTTTTTCCTTGTGTGCTGTGTGTGTGTGTGTGTGTACCATATTTTGTGCTCTATAAGACGCACCAGACCATAAGGTGCACCTAGTTTTTGGAAGAGGAAAACAATAAAAAAAACCTGAATCCCAGAAGCCAGGACAGCAAGCAGGATCGCTGCGCAGTGATCCTGCTTGCTCTCCTGGCTTATGGGATAGCCACGCACAGCCTCTCCCAGGCAGCGGGATGAAGGCTCCCCTTGTCCGGGAGAGGCTGCGCGCGGCTAAGCAAGAAGCCAGGACAGCCAGGGGGTCCCTGCCTGGGAGAGGCTGCGTGCGGCTAAGGCTCCCCCAAGAGCCGCGCTCCCTTTAAAGAACGCGCAGAGTGTGTGTGCGGCTCTTGGGGGCTTTTCCCCGAGGAGGGAGAAGGGCAGCACACACGCAGCTCTTTAAAGGGCGCTGAGCAAAGCCTCCTGCCTGCATTCGCTCCATAAGACGCACACACATTTCCCCTTACTTTTTAGGAGGGGAAGTGCGTCTTATGGAGCGAAAAATACGGTGTGTGTGTATTGCAAGCCTCTGGGCAGGAACTGCCTTCTTTTAATTTATTGTATGTGAGCGACTCTATGAGCCTTTGTGGCTGAAGAATGGGGTATGAATGCTCTAAATAAATTAAATAAAATAAATTTCCTCCTTTTCGGTGATGCATAAGCAGCCAACCTGGTTTTAAGAGGCTTTGAACTACAGGAACAATCAGATGCCACCCAGGCAGCCAGCCTACTATGCCATGTAACTGTAGCATGGGGTGGGGAGGGGAAAACTGATTATTGTACCTGATCTCCCCTCTGTGAACTGAAATGTCTTGTGTTGCTGGTGTGTGTGTGTGTGTGTGTGTGTGTGTGTGTGTGTGTTTTCCTGGAACACTCAGACACGGAGTTGGAGGCTGTGAACACATGTACTTTCCGGACTCTGGGGTGAGCTTGGTGTTTTCGTAAATGCAGCTGAGGGCCTTCCTTTGATCTCCTTGATTCATGCCTAGGTTTGGCCTGGAAACCTGGTCCAGATGCTGCGTCCACTCCTTCGCTTGACTACTGGTGGGTGGCTTCAAGATTTCTCTGCAATGACACACACATGCAGAGGGAGAGTGGAAAGTGAGGCGGCTGGCTTCCAGGCTCCGTTTCAAACACATTTCCCCTGCAAGCGGCTTGGAGAGTCGCCCGCGGACCTCTCAGCGCTTTTGATACAGCAGGCCAAGTTTGGAGCTGGATGCCTCAAGACAGGCCCAGCGCGGCTCATCGTAACCACCCGTGCTTTGCAAAAAGTTTGGCTCGTCTGCATTTAGCCATCTGTGTGCATCAGGTGCCAATCTTCTCCCAGGAGAAGGGAGGCCCTACTTTGCATGCTAAACAGCGGCAAATGCGCTAGAGGCCCCATCCCAGTCTTATCTCATGCCTTGCATGCAGAAGGGTCCAAATTCAATCCCCAGCATCTCTAGGTAAGACCAGGAATGCTCCCTGTCTGAAACCCTGGATAGCTGCTGCCGGCCAGTGTAGACAATACTGAGCTCGACAAATGGTCTGACTCACTCAAAGTCATCTCCCTCTGTTCCTATGTAATGGCCTTGTTGGGGAGAGGGTTCTTTTCAAATGCTTAAGGGTATTACTGGTGGCAGAACTTGCAAGTCTGCAATTTCAGCAGCGCCCCATGCAATGCCTAATTTCGGCACCACCCCACACCTCCCACCTTCCATTCCACATCACAGTTGAGGCACGCCGAGGCTCCATGCCCAGTGCAACCGAAGCAGTCACACTCCCTTAAATCCACCTCTGGTATTATTTCAAAATGTAGTAAGCCAACTCTGCTGCTTAAGACTAGTGCTGTGGGGGGGGGAGTGTCTCTGGTGGGGGATGTCTGCTGAGTGCGATTCGGGACCTCTGACCCAAAGTTGACTCTTGGAGACCATGGCTATCTCTCTTCCCTTTGTAGGCATCAGAGCGCTAGCTGTGAGGCCTCCCTCCCAAGTTCACTTCATCTGCGTCTCCTCTGCCGCATTCTCTTGACTATTCAAGATGTCAGCTTCTCAGTGTCAAGGGGCTCCCCGCTATCAGGTCCTGTCCCCCCCCCCCCGCTTCCCTGGCTCCTCATGAAGGGGCCTCTCTGATACTTGACCAGCCATGTAAGAGCACCAAGGATGGCAGCCAAGGCATCTTGGTGGAGTGCGAAATTCACCCCTGGTCAGAAGGCCAACACAAGGCCCGGCCGACACTTGCCTCCACTTCAGACTCCGAGATAGGGATGAAGAGGCAAGCAGGCCTCGGCTTGGCCCTGTGTACTTGAGGGTCACCCCTGTAAAGTGTGGCACACTTTGAAGCACCGGGAGAAGGAATTCTGTCACAAGGAGAGCCGGCACTGGAAATATAACCAGGGCGGTACAATGGAAGGAGCTCTTCTGGACCAGATTGACCCTTCCGGCTGGGGAAAGGCAAATCCATCGATTTTGGGTTATCTCCATTTCTTCTTTTGGCGCT